CAGAGGTTGTTTCAGGGTTCTATCTGTGAGTTAGCCATGCCCTGACTTAGATCATTCCAGGGGTCGCTTCAGGGTATGTATAGGGGTTTTTTTGCTGTCATTTAATAACCTAATACATTGTGTTTCAGCTTGAGCCACTAAAAGACATCCAAGTATGGATGGCCGCTGCTGGTCAGATATTCTTCTCAATGGCCATAGGCTACGGCAGCACAATCCTGTATTCAAGCGGCAACAAGCGAAACAACAACTTCTGTTCAGATGCCCTCCTGGCCTCGCTGGCCAACTCTGGGACATCACTGTGGGCCAGCATCATCATGTTCTCGTTCTTTGGATACCGTACTCACTTCATGGTAGAGAAGTGTAGGAATGCGCTAGAGAGCAACAGTTCACAAGCCATCATGTCATTTATGTTGTCTTCTAATATCGCGGGAAACTCCACGGGCAGGGTCTTGGCCAACGGAACAAGGAATTGCAGTAAGCAGTTCTTCTTCAAACAGGTAGGACTTAATTCAGTTTATTTCTTTTGATATATTTAACAAGGTAAGTAAAAAAGTATACAGCTATTTCGAAAAAGGTTAAATACTGAATATTGCATACTGAATAGTGCATTCCAAGACTAAAGTCAGTACATTTGTACGGAAATCCGAGAACAATGTCCGAACTTCTTGGTGACCGTAACACAATCCAACACAATTTATACCACGTGACGGCTAGCGCCGAAAAGGTGAATTGAGTCTCCGTTGCCGCAAGGCCTTTGCAAAACAAGYTGCAGAGAAAATTGCTCCGTGTTATCGCGCCTTTAGCGAGGAATCGATCGATTGAAATAGTCAGCAAGTATATAAAATTAATAGATTAACATTCATGTTGGGCACCGTTACCAGCCGCGCTGCAGAAGAAAATAGACTGCACACAGCACAGCAAGCATGTTTTTTATTTCTTTTATAAATACAAATTACAATAACTGTTATTTTGGGTAGGAATGACGCAACTGAAAAAGTGCGCGCGTGCTCTCATAAAGTACGCGCTCCCAACCAATCAGAACGCGAGATTTATAATATATTTTATAATTATAAACATATATATATATATATATATATATATCATATAATTATTTTATAATTTTTAAAGTACAAATTACAATGACCCTTTTTTTTTAGATAATAATGACTGAAAGTGCGCGCGTGTGCTGTATGATCTCATAAAGCACGCGCTCCCAACCAATCGGAACTCTAGATTTACAACAGTTATTTCATATAATGCTCTTTTCCCCCCACAGATACCTGAAGGAATGTCACTAGCGTTTGTCGGGATGACCCAAGCATTTGGCGAGTTGAATCTATCCCGTGCTTATCCTGCTCTGTTCTTCTTCTTCTTGTTCCTATTGGGTGTTTCTAGTGTGCCGGGGATGATATACGTGCTGGTTAATTCGTGCATTGAGTTTCGATTAACGCCGAAAACCTGGAGACGGGAGGTTGTGACAGGTATGGAATTCCGTAATTCAATTATAATTGCACATGTGGTGAAATAAACTAATATGATTATCATCATTCTATATCACCATTATCATCATCACCACCATCACCATCATCATTCTATATCAACACCATCATCACCACCACCATCATCACCACCACCATCATCACCACCACCATCATCACCACCACCATCATCACCACCACCATCACCATCAACATTCTATATCACCACCATCATCATCACCACCATCAACATTCTATATCACCACCATCATCATCATCACCATCAACATTCTATATCACCACCATCATCATCACCACCATCACCATCATCATTCTATATCACCACCATCATCATCACCACCATCACCATCAACATTCTATATCACCACCACCACCACCATCATCACCACCATTACCATTACCATTATCATCATCACCACCATCACCACAACCATTACTAATATCGTCGTCATCATCATCATCATCGTCATCATCACCATGATCATTCTATATCACCACCACCATCATTACCACCATCACCATCATCATCACCATCATCATCACCATTACCATTATCATCATTACCACCATCACCACAACCATTATTAATATCGTCGTCATCACCATCATCGTCATCATCACCATCATCATTCTATATCACCATCATCATCACCATCATCATCATCATCAAGTCTACAGACACTATTTTATCCTAACTTTACACTACATTTGACGTTGACAGAACTACAACCTGAAAGACATTTTAAATGTTGTTATGTTGTCCTGTTTTCCATAAGTACTAGTTGAAAAGCCAAAAAATATATAAAAAATAAAAGAGGACATGGAAAGGAGGGAACAAACATCTACTATAGAACTGTTAATTGTGAGGTATTTTCGGGTCCAACGGCTCACAAAAAACCGTTAAAATAAAGTGAAAAAAGCTATGATGAAAAACTCAATTCGGGCGAAAGTTGAAAGGACACGAGTTAAGAACTTCTTTACATGCTCGTGGTCTGTATGAATATTAGTCTAAAGGCGCGATTACACGGAGCAACTTCCTTTGCAAGCTGTCTTACAACAGCGCGTTGCAAGTGCGACGCAATCGCTGCCAAAAGTAGAAACGAATTCAACTTGCCTCGCAAAAGTTTTTCAAATTGCGTTGTAGGCTACACGCTGCAATGTTCCATGCAACTTGTGTCACAACGCCGTTGCGAGACAAGTTGGAGGGAGGGAGGGAGGGAGGGAGGGAGGGGTGGATGGATGGGTGGATGGATGAATGGATGAATGGAGGGAGGGATGGAGGGATGGAGGGGTGGATGGATGGGTGGATTGATGGGTGGATGGTTGGACGGATGGATTGCCTGATTGATCGTTTGATTGATTGATTTTATGTCTTCATTTCAGGGCTGGTCTGTCTTATCATCTGTCTAAGCAACCTTATATTCATACAGTCACCTGGTCTTTACATTCTTGAGCTGATCGACAGCACGTGCGCCTTTCCTCTATTAGTTATTGGTTTCTGTGAATGCATTGGTCTTTGCTATATTTATGGACTTGATAAGTATGTTTTATTGCTTGTCTCTGTCTACGCCTCGTGTTCCTAATCTTGCTTCTCTCGTGCTCTACATGCTTCCGACACAAGTGAAAAACGTCTGCGCATGCTCTGAATCCGTATGCAAATTAGTCAAAACATAAGTAAATTTGACTTTTAAACATGCCTGATAAATTGGACTTCACAAAATGCCAAAACTTAGTGTCCATGCTTGAAACTTAAGGCTAATTCTTTCATATTGTGTTTGTTAATACATTATCTTGGTCTGACAAAAGTATACTCTCGAACTTTTTTGTATACTTGGAGAAAACAAACATTTATTTTCTCACTTAAACTCTTCAAAATTCTTAGAAAACGTGCTGAAGTGCACGAAACTTCCCAAAGGTTCCCGACATTATCGATATATATGGTACAGTATCTATGTTTATGTGGATTTCCAGAATTTCTTGGACTTCCGGTATATGAGCGTATACGTTAAAAGACTTACCAAAAATTAAAAAAATATGTTCCCGATTTCCAATTCTTATTTTGATCGGAAGTAAACACAGAACTCTGTTTGAAAGCAGGTTTGAAAGCAGGTTTGAAAGCATGATTTTCATTGATTTTGTTTCAATTCCGTAAAACTGCGCATGCGCCAAAAATGGATTATGCCAGAGCCCTCGTTCTTCGCCGCAGGCCGAAAGAAACGCAGGCTCTGGGTACGAGTTGATTATGCCAATGATTGAAAGTTTTTTTCACTTCCTATTTCCCATCCATGTATTTATTTATGGACTTTTCTTTTTTCAACCAAGATTCTCCAAAGACATTCTAACCTTAACGGGTAGAGAATTGTCGTGGAAATGGAAGCTCTGTTGGAAATTCATTTCTCCATTGATAATCCTTGGCTTGATAATAGGGTCAATAATCAACTTCATACAGACTGGAGAACGCTATTATAAGGCATGGGACAGTAATAAGGTGAGTTGAACAGTGGTTTATCTTCAAATGCTGCGTTCTGATTGGATGAGCTACTACTAGACTATAAATTATAACCTACTATTAGCCAAAAGTGCCGACTTTGAAAACCAAAACATTGAATTTAACTTTAATTCAAGACTTGTTTGCATCTAAATATTTGACGGACTAGTTGGATTTGACTAAAACAATTAGTCCTCTCGTCCTTGTGGCCTATGAGTCAATAGCCCATTCGGGAGCGAGGACTAATCGCTCAATATACCCATGTATCAATACATCCAATTATAGGCCTATATACTAATATACCTATATATCCAAATACACAATTACAAGCCTACTTCAAGCTACATGTATCATATGAATATCGAGACTTAATTGATGGTTTTTAACCATTCCCAAGAGAATTAAATAACAAAAGACACGGCGGCCATGTTGGAGGATATAACAAAAGAATTCATTGACAATTCTTTTGTTAAAGTTTTCCAACATGGCCGACGTGAAAACCATCAATAGCCAAAAATCTATTCAATATATTTTCGTTCGCTTATTGATATCAGCCAATCAGAAGGCATTTAAGTAAAATCGATACGACCAATCACAAGCCACTTCCTTTCAAATGAATAATATACTTTAAAAACACTCTTTAAAAACACTGAGTTTCTTCGTTTATCAACGAAGGCTCCACCCTTCAAAAGATGAGCCGTTTTTCGACGCTAGAATGCTCAAGCAACGATTGTACACATACATTTTACCTGGTATGCACATGTTGCATATAACCAGGTATATCAATACCTATACAATAATCAATCAATCAATCAATAACTCGCAAATATAACACCCAGAAGCAGATTTACTTCATTGTTAACGTACTCATTAATCTTTTTTAAATGTTTATTTTAACTAAATCCACCTATCATCTATAATAATAATACCCACGCTTACAGAGCCACGTGACCTATACAGCTCCCTCAGAGGGGGTATATAACCAATGACCTCATACTTTCACCCCTATCTAAGCAAATTAAACGATTTAACTCGTTAAAGAAAATACATAAAATTTTTATTTGTAAACACTTACTACATTCAGCTCAACTCACATTTTGATTTTTATGAAGCGAGGAAAACCAGAGAACCCGGAGAAAAACCTTGTAGCATAGGAGAGAACAACACATCAAGCAAACTCAATTCACATTTTGATTTTTATGGAGCGAGGAAAACCAGAAAAATCTGGAGAAAACCCTTTAGATAGGGAGAGAATAACACATCTAAGCATCTTGTCTTAACAAAAAGATTCCTTTTACTTTGTGCAGTTTTTCTTCTTCACATAATGCGTAATGAAAATATGGACATTATGGACGAGTGTTATCGTTAGACAGTCAATGGACACTTATTCTCATCCAGAACATCTGCAGTTTGAATGCATCAATCAAGTATTTCTTTCTTAGCCAATCCTCTATTACACAAAAAGTATTTCCTGCAATTTGAGTGCATTAATTATTTCTTACTTATCCAATCCAATGACAAAAAAAGTTTTTCCTTTGTTAACTTTCCTATGGCTTTTACCTTTCTAGGGACACCTCGTCTCTCTACCCTACCCCACTTGGGCCAACGTTTTGTACTACCTTCTGACCATCATCCCTTTAGTATGCCTCGCCTATCCCTTCTTACAAAGCTGCTTCAAAAGGTTAAGAAGCTCTCCCATTTCTCAAGACAAGTCAATGAGTTGCGGGGTATGTAAAGATTTATTTGAAGCGTGTCAAGACACGTTTGCTCAAAGATCCGGGACCTACGATCTTACGTCACCATCAAATTACATTGGTTATGATACTGAGGCCCTTGAAATGAATGGTGTCCAATCCAATGAGGAGATAGGACCTATTAGTCGCTCTGCTAATTACAATACAGCAGACTTGAGTTTAGCTAGTGGCTCGAGTAATGGTTCCCTTGGTAACGGGAACAAGAGTTACCATGGTGACAATGCTAATCGTTCCCTTGGTTACGATAACAGTGGCCTTGAAAGAACTAGTAATGATAATCTTTTTAATACACCTGACCGGAATGACTCAAATACTTCGGTTCAAACTTCAGCCAACAACGTTGCTTCAACTTCGGATCATTACGACAACGAAGGACTTGAATCTGATCTTGGAAATATGGATCAAAGGTTGTAAATAGAATCCATCTGCGCTTATGGTTTTTAAAAAAATCGAATTCGTGTATAAGACTTATAGACAGCTCCTAAAAGGAGATTTTAACTTCCCTTATTGAAGAGGGTTATAGGAGTGTTGAGAGGGAAGAATATTTTACATTTTTAAGTCTCTTAACCCTCTTCCATCTTCGTATGAACCTATCCCTGTAAAATACCTCTTTAGCTCGGGCGTAATGTTTTTCCATTTTACACAACGTGTCATTCTCTTGAGAATAAGATTCTTCGTCTAAGTTGTATCCATATTTATGTGTCTTCTCGTTTACAACCGTTAAACAAAGAAATGATACTCTAGGGAATGACACGTGGTCTTGAGAATAAGATTCTTTGTTTGAGTTGTATCCATATTCATGTATCTTCTCATGCACAACCGTTAAACGAAGAAATGATACTCTAGGGAATGACACGTGGTCTGAAATGGGAAACATTATGCCGAAGGTAAGAGGTCCCCCGAAAAGTCCCCCGAGGGTAAGGGGGTGGGAGCGAATTTATCAGACACAATCCTCTCAATATAGATATTAAACAGTCCATAAGGACATAACACTATTTTCATAAGATTCTAGATCTCTTATAAACACTGTAAACCTTACGCGATATTTTATTACAAAAATAACACTAGTTTATAAATTCATTCGCTGTTTTTATCAATGGAAATGTTAGTATTAAATAATACTATTTTCTTGAAAATAATATATGAATTGCTGGTTTTCAATCATTCCCAAGAAAATGAAATAAAGAAAGTCACGGCGGCCATGTTAAAGGATATAACAAAAGAATTCATTGACAATTCTTGTGTTAAATTCATCCAACATGGCGACTATGACGTCATGTGCAAACGAAGAATTATGATCCAAGGGTTTGACTATAAATTTGTTTCTGCGCATTTCTTCTACGCACGCTTTTTATCTGAGAATAACTTCTTGCTCATATACGAATACTCGTCCTTCAATATTTTTACTGGACCGTTTCTGCCTGATAAGTTTGACGACATAGAGTGAGGTCATTAAACCCGTGAAATAGATATTAGACTAATACACATTAGTAGACCCTAATTCCATTGTTTTCTTTTGT